AACAATGTATATAAATGTTCACAATGTATGTATGAAACTTGTAATGATAATGAAAGTGTATATGGCAAGTTTCACAAAATTATGAACACATGAAAGTATGAATTCAAATGTGAATGATGACAAATTGTTTATTGAAGAAGTATATTTGTTAATTTGAAAATTGAAGCATTGTTTTTGAAATAAGAAAATCTGCAGCATTTTATAAAGTCATAAGAACCTCTTCATTCATGCCAATTCATATGAAAAGTTGCAATGCATTCATGAAAAGATACCACTTGAAAAATGTTTAAAAAACAAAAGAAAAGCTGCACTGGTTCACTAGGAACCGGTTCCGACACTGACAGAACCCGATTCTTAGTGAACGTTATAAGTCAGATTTCAAAAAATATCACGCAGGAACCGGTTCCCCTATTGGTACAACCCGGTTCCTGGTACAAAAACCAAGGACATGTTTTTTGAGAAAGTCTGGAACCCGGTTCCCTGTTAGGGAGGAACCGGTTCCTAAAGGGTTATTTTCAAAAATACTTTTTGAAAAATATTTCAAACAAATTTTCTCTTGATGTTAAAATTATGGGATATGTATATGTTGATGAATGCATATTTTTGTGAACATCTATATTCAAGATTAAGAATTATTTATACCATTTTGACATTTGATGATTCTTCAATAATTCTTCTATAATCTTCAAGACTTTTATATGATGTTGATAAGCTTTTTGCACATCCTTTGAATGTTGATATCCATGTTGTCTTCATCAAAACAAATGCTTTAAATATGACTTGAGAAGCTTGCAATTACACAATCTTCTTATTCCAAGCTCTTGGAGCTTGTTTCAATCCATACAAGGATTTATGAAGCTTGTACACCTTTCTCTCTTCGTCATGTTTCACAAACCCAACTGGTTGTTTAACATAAACTTCTTCATCTAAGGGTTCATTTAGGAATGCACACTTCACGTCCATCTGACATATGTGCCAACTGTTTATTTCTGCTAGACCAATAACCAACCTAATTGTTTCAATTCTAGCCACAAGTGCATAAACTTCATCGAAGTCTATTCCTTATTTCTGGAGAAATCCTTTCGCTACAAGCCTTGCTTTGTGTCGAGTTACTCCCCCTTTGGGATTCATCTTCAATTTGTATACCCACTTAACATCAATTGCCTTCTTACCTTGAGGCAATTCGACAAGTGATCAAGTGTTGCTGTCTTTGATGGAATTTACTTCTTCGTTTATTGCTTTCATCCACTTTGAATCCTTCAATGCTTCAGCTGCATTGACAGATTCGACATTTGCATAGAAAGCATAATGTACTAGCTCACCTTCATTATCAACCACATCATCTGATGTAATCACACAATCTTTCTACCTTGCAGGCATGCTCTTTTTCTTCGAGGTCTGCTTGATTTATAATTGTTGGTTCCTCTTGTCGAACTTCTCTTTTGACTTGAGTTTCTGGTTCTCCAATCACATTATTTAAGCACATCTATGATAAAGTCCATGATGATCACAATCTGCTTATTCACTGGGTCGAACAACTTGTAACCTCATATCGAATGATATCCTACTAGGATCATTTGACTCGACTTGTCATCAAGTTTTCTTCTCAACTGACCTGACACATGTCTATATGCAATAAATTCAAATACCTTCAGATAACTCAAGCTAGGCTTCATACCAGACCAACATTCTTCTAGAGTAATTCCTTCTAGCTTCTTCGGTGGACATCTATTTAATATGTATGTTGCAGTTGACATAATTTCACCCAAAAACTCTTTAGGTAAATTCTTACCTTTCAACATAATTTTCACCATATTCATGATGGTTCGATTCTTTCTTTCTGCAGTTCTATTCTGTTGTGGAGTGTAGGGTGGCACCACCTCATGCATAATCCCCTCTTTCTCCCATAACTTGTCGAAGTATTTCGACACATATTCTCCACCACCATCAGTTCTTAAAACTTTGAGCTTTCGACCACTTTGTCTTTCGACCATAGATTTAAATTTGGAAAATATCTCGATCACTTCACTTTTCTTCTTGATCAGGAAAGTCTACAATTTTCGACTGAAATCATCTATAAATGTGAAAAAGTAATTATTACCTCCATACGAATCTACCTGGATTGGTCTACAAACATCAGGGTATATTACTTCAAGAATAGCCTTCGACCCGCTTCCTGCATCCTTGCTGAAATTATTCTTGTGCTACTTCGCCTGCACACATTCCTCACACACCTCGTTTGGAATGTCAATTTCTGGCAATCCAGAAACCATATTTCTTCTCTTTAAATCTCTGAAGTTGAGATGGCCTAGTCGATAATTCCATATATATATTCATCCCTGCTAGCTGCAGTCGAAAGGCACTGATGCTCCATCGTATTAAGTTCGATCTTGAAAGTTCTATTCTGAGACATAGGAGCCTTCAAGATTAATCTTCCATTTGCGCCGACGACTCTCATCATCTTGTCTTTTACCATCACTTTGTAAATATTTTTGACCAACTGTCCTATACTGAGTAAGTTTCTCTTCATGCTTGGTATGTATAACACATTGGAAATTACTGACCTTTTGCCATCTTTCCTCATAATCAGAACATCTCCAATACCTTCAGCTGCTAAAATATTATCATTTGCAAATTTTACCATGTTCTTCATTGAGGGTTTTAGGTTGACAAACCAATCTTTCCTTCTAGAATGTGTGATGAACATTCTGAATCCAAGTACCATTGGTCCTTAAATTTTTCTCCATCTCTTGTTGTGACCATCAACAACATCTCTTCTTCTTCATACTTTGCAAACTTTACAGCACTTTCTTGATTCTTTCACTTCTCTGGAGAATCACTAGAATAGTGACCATACTTTTGACAATTGTAACACTAAATGTGACTCTTGTCAAGTTTTCGACCACCACCTCTTCCTCTATTTGCAGTACCACCTCTTTGGTTGCCTTGGTATGGCCTTCTCCGATTCGACACGTTTTCTTTATACTGATTTCCTCTACCAATCGAATTATTGTAGCCATCTGTATCTTTATTATCGAACCACTTTCCTTTGCCTTTCTTATCTTTTGGTGATTAAGCCTGCAGAGCCACATCACTCTTCGACTTTCCTGCAGCTCTTTCAACCATTCTTCGTTCATTGGATTCAAACGTCCCTTGAGGTTCTTCCTTTGACAAAGTTGACATGTCCTTGGACTCTTCTATGGCAACTACCATATGGTCGAACTTCGGAGCCAAAGATCTCAATATCTTCGAAACAACAACTCTTGTTGTTAATATCTCTCCACAAGTTTTGATTTGATTCACTAGTTTTGTAACCCCAGTGAAGAAATCAGATATACTTTCAGTGTCCTCCATCTGAAGCAATTCATACGTTCTTTTGTGAGTTTGTAACCTCACCTCTTTCACTTTCTCAGTGCCTCCAAACGATTTCTTCAGAATTTCCCAGGCTTCTTTTGCAGATTCAACATCACTAACCTTTTCAAAATTGTCTGGGTTTACACATTGGTGAATTATAAAGAGAGCTTTATAATTCTTCTTCTTCAATTCTTTGTATTGCGCTTCTTTCGCTTCTAAAGCTCTTTCATCAAGTGGTTCTACTTCATATTTCACAAGATCCCAAAGATCTTGAAAGTCGAATATAACCTTCATCTGTTTACGCCAATTCTCATATTATCTCCTTTAAGAATTGGAAGATTGATGGAAAATTTCCATTAGCATAATTCATCACTATTGATTTTCGTCTTCTTCCTCCTCGATCGTTCTTGATCGTTCTTCCCTTGAGTCACTCAATCGGAGCTCTTGATACCAATTGTTGGAAATCTACCAAAACCTATGATGAATTTCTACCAATCATGATGCTCAAGATTGATATCACCACACAATGACAATGAAAAATAAAAAATGAAGAAAGAAAGTATTTTTCTACAGAGTTTCTCTGTGCCCATAAACTGTGGAAAATTTTATTATTCACTTGCAACTGCAAATTCTTTGAATGAATGAATTGATTACAAAAGAGAAGTTGTTCCCTATTTATAGATTTATGTTAGCTTTCTTCCTAAGGCAAAGTCCAAAACTATAAAATCCCAAAATACCTATTTAGATCTAAATTAAATCTATCTAAATGTAAAACAAAATATGCGTGTAACAAACTATTTCCACACATCAAATCTTTTCAACATTCCTTTGTCTCTGTCGACCAAACTGCTTCGACACAAGAAATTACAATTTAACAGTTATTTTACATAATGTCAACAATAAGGACGTTTTCACATCTAGAAATGTTACATCATGGACATATTTTTTCCATATCAAACAAATGAGAACAATCTCACTTGGGTATATCATGTTAATAATCCATACACCATTTTCCTAACCACAATTATTTTTAGATAAGTCTAAATCTATCAGTCCTAACTCTAATATTGATATCACACATGACCAAGATCCATCCATTAATCAAATCATGGATCAACATGATTCTAATACTAATGATACACATGACCAAGACTCATCCATTAATAAAACATTAGATCAAACACTATGGAAGTAACAACTTGAAGGGGGATGTTACTTTTATCTATTTCTTGTTGTGCAAGTAATAACTTTACTACACTACTTTCCATACTTAAAGTTAGTTAGGATTAGCTATGGAGGCTAGTTAGTTTGTTAACTAACTTTCTCTTGATCTCAAACATCTTTGTGTAATCTCTCATGTAATTCTCATTCATTCAATAATATAGAGGAATCTCTTAACTTACAAGTTACTCCATTATCAATTCATGTATGAATACTTACTCTTACATCAACTATGTTTGCTCTTGTACTCTTAAATAAATGCCAACTATTTATCGTTTAAAACAATCATTTACTTATAAATAACAACTTTTTGGGAAACTTCTGTCAAATCGGAAATCATAAACATTCCATGAAAAACAAGGAAACAATAAACATTACAAATTTAACTTATTGAATTTGTAGATAACTAGAATCTGCACCAACTTCTAATTAAAGTTAGGATAAACTTCAATTAGAGACTTGAAACCGCATATTGGAAAAATCTTATACCTACTAAAGCCTGCATGGTAAATGAGTTTTTCCGATTCTTTTCTCTCTCTTTCTTTTCCATTGTGCAGAGTCAACATTACCATGTCAAAGTGCAATTTCAGTTCAGTTAATCCATGATCATCACTTGTTTCATCAATTGCTATGTCAATGATAATCACTTTTCCATCTTTCCCTTTGTGAGAAATTGCTTCTTTGCTATTCTTCAATATCTTTAAAGAGAGCTCATCATCCCGATCAAGCAAAACCCACTTTAAAAAGAAAACATTTGATATTTTGGAGTTCGAGATATATAAAATAAAATGGAAAGGATTAGTAACTATAGAACTGATGAAAATAAAGATACCTTAAGTAAAACAGCATGAGCAGGAGGGATAGATTCGAACATATCTCCACCAACAAAGTTGATATATTCATTTCCAGTCAAGTTAGCAACAACTTGTGGTTGATCAAAAACAGTGCATTTGATGTTAGGAAATGCTTCATGAATGAGTTTTGACACAACTCCAGTTCCACCTGCCACATCAACCAAAGACTCCAAACCCTCAAACACATGGCTGCAGTCTTTGAGGGAAAGCCTAAACATTCTAGAATCAGCTTCCATGGCATCTTGAAACATAATCAGTATATCAGAATTAGAATCTTTGTTCAGCATGTCCCAGAAGTTCTCCCCAGTTGCACTCTCGAAAAGTGAGAGTTCATTATTCATAAAGAGTCATTGGTTTTCCATGGTTATGAATTGCGTCTGCTATGCCTAGTTCTATAGCAGACTTTAGAGCCATGGAACTTACAAAGTTGTATACATGTTTGTACAAATGGATCTGAGCATGAAATCCATTTCTATTGTTTTTATTTCAATTATGTCGGTTAATGAGGCCTGCACGATGTCTAACTTTCAAATTCAGCCAAATGATTTGATGTTCAAACCAACAAATCATAAGTTTATCCTGAAATTCACGGGTGGTACAACTGTAGGAGATATTGGCAAGCACGAAATCGACAACAAGCCTAGCAACTTAACCCCTTTTGCCGATGTAATATCTGGGAAATGGCAAAGGAATGTTCTTTGTGGTATTATCATTAATCCCTCATCAACCTATTTTTGATTTTTGTTATGAATGTTTATGTATATTCCACTGATTTTATTATTTTCTATAGATGTTATTGGTTTCGTTGACGAGGTAAGCTACACACAGTCGCACGCGGGAGGGAAAAAACCGCAGGTTAACTTGGTATTGCGCGATTTGGAGTACGTCTCATACTAACCTGATTTGATATCTCTATATTCCCCAAGTAATTTGGTATTAGTATCGTTTTTTTTCAATTACTGATTACCAACTTTGACTGGATAGTGACAACACTTTAAATTGCATTTTATGGGAAGCCTATGCAATGCAATTCTTAGAGTACCAGCAAAAACAAGTTGATACCACCAAACCAACAATTATGATCCTCAGATATGCTAAAGTGAAGGAACAAGGTTCTCTAAAACCCACAGTTATTAATTTTATCCTTGTATTAATGCAACTTATCCCTTGCTTTTGTATGCATCTTTGAATTTATATATGCATATTGTAGGAAAATTTCCAATTGCAGTGATAAACACCTACAACGTCACAAAACTCCAAATCAACGAAGACATAACCGACATAAATGAATTTGTAAAAAGGTAAACACCCCAATGTATGAAATCTAATAGTTTATAATGTCTTAATTAATTGGTCATTTCTGTTTCATTTGACATGTTCTAAAATTGTACATGTACAGGTTGCCAAAGGATTCTAGCACTGAGAAGTCATTGACAACCACAAGCTGCAACAACCGAGGGTGGTCACAAAAATATTCCAGCTTTCATATGTTTATCATGGAGAAGTTTTTAGATAAATCTATTCAGATTAAACTTCATGAGATAAGCCAATTGGCTGAGGTAGTTTACATTCCTTGTAATTTTTTCAAAACCATTCTTTGAACCCTTGACTGCATAGCATGACCGATTTTGTCATCTACATGCAGCCTATGTTATGTGTATCTGTTTCTACTACAGACAAACTTTTAGCATCAGAGCATGGTTGGTTCTACACTGCATGTCACCAATGTCCTCAAGTTGCTAAAGGCGAGAGACCTCATTTTTTCTGTCGGGATGGACACCATACAGAAGCAGAAATTTGGAGGTGGGGTCTTACCTTTATTTGCACTTTAATAATTTTTATCTGAAACGTTTTATTGATGACCTTTATTTTGTGGTTGCGATGTAGGTTTAAGATTTTAGTTGAAGTAGTTCATGAAGGGAACACTGCAAAATTTGTTTTCTGGGATCGGGAGGCGGTCGAGTTGTTGGATACTACTGCCGCACAAATGCGAGCAACCATGATACATGTTTGTGAAATCTGGTTGATCTGTTTCTATTGATTTGTTGTTTACCTTAATGTTGTACCAACACTAACTTATTACCACCTTCATTACTAATTGAAATTCAGGCTGGAATAACAGACCCACTAGAATTTCCATTTGCCCTTGATGCAATATTGGACAAAAAGTTTGCGTTTAAGGTATAGTGGGATGCAATATTGGACAAAAAGATAATTCCCATTCCACGTCTTAACTGTTTCTTATGAGTTAGTTATTGCCCTGGTTGTGTACCATATTTTTTGGTCCTTGATTTTATACAGCCCACTATCAAATACTGGTTATAATGTAATGTATCTGCCTGACCACTATGTAATCCCTTAGACTACATTGTGAACTGGATTTAACATCACAACAACATTTTGGGATTTCTTTTGGATGCTTAATGCTATAATTTAGTTACCGTGGGTTATGTATCAATGTAATGTAATATGTCTAACATTTTCTACAATCTACTATCAGATTCCATGTTATATATTATTGGCCAGTTTTCTCAATTTGTAAATATCGTTTGCAGTTTGTAACATCATTAATTTTCGTTTTTCCTGTTTTTTAATGGTTAACACTGACCTATCACTATCCTAATCAACGAGGGATTGACCTTCTATGATTAGTTAAGCCCTCTAAATATCATGCAGTTTTACGAACTATTTATGCGCTACAAAAATTCATTTCAGATCACATATTCTACTTTTCTTCAAACTGGTATTTAACATAACTGGCTTTGCGTTAAACATATAACTATGACTCTTAAGTGTTATAAAAGGTGACGCTTATATAGAATACCATAAGAGAAGGATCTTAAATAATATAATTTAACAAACTTACTTATAAACTATTATAAACCATTGGATAATTAACATATGCATAAGTATTTTTTATTATTGTGCCCGGAGAAACATGTCGCTTCATGTCATCCCATTTGACATCTCCTTTTGCTTCCTGCTATAACTATTGCATTGACTATTACTGTTTCATCATTGTACTTGGTTGCAAGTTGCAATATATGCTTGCCATTCATTATTTTACTATTTTTAAACAACTAACACAGCTGTATAAATTATTCAAATTATTTGAATTCACAATTTTGGCCACAAACTTACCCGCCATAATTTTCAAACTATTTTTCATATCCTCTCAAACAGGGAAACAAAATACTCATTTTTACAGGGTTTCAATTTCTGCTCTCCTCCTAATCAGAATCATAGTGTATGCTACTTTCCTTTTTACCCGAGATTTGATTAAATATACCATAGTTTCTATGCATGTACAACTATTAGATTCTATACCATAGTTCCTATTACGTAGTGTATGAATCAGCCGTTAGTAAATGTCTACATTCAGAGCTTATATATCCTTAACTATGTCGACTAATGATCTTACTTTGAAAATTCATACAGTATAAAACTGTGTCTATTACAGATGGTTGATACCAACAACACCCCTGCTTCGATTGCAAGAAAGAGGAGAAGGTTGATGTTGGTGGACAAGAGACATCACGGTTCAATTTCAAACAAAGATAATGGGATTTCTGCACCATCCACACCTTCTATTCCTACGACAACATTCTCCCACTTACATGATACAACACCCTTAACAACTTTGAATTACACTACTCCTACCGGTGTGAGTAGGAGTTTATTACATGGTGCTGCCCCTAACAAGAAGAGACAAATTGATGAGGTTTTTGGAATATATTTGTTATCCGCTTTCAATTCCCGTGAAATTTTGTCACCAGTAAACCTTAGTGCCTCTAATTCAACTATTAAACTACCTGTTATATCTACTGCAATTCCTCCACACTCAACGACACTTTCACAAAACGGTCATCAAGTCATGCAAAATGTATCTTAACCTCAACCTCATACTTCTTTTGCCTCCTCTATAACCGACACTATCAGTAAATTTCCTACCAACACACAATGTCATGGGACAACCGTTATCAACATAACTAACAACTCAAATCCTAAGCCCCAACCAGCAAGCTACCAGCAGACAAACTTTGTTGCAACTACCTCTAATCACAATGTACCGTCCACCTCCAGTGGTATCTCCTCACCAACCATGCTTCGGCGCAGTCAACGTAATGTCATAAATCACTTCCACACTGCATCTACTAATGCACCAACGACACACCTTTACCCACAAATGCCTCATGATAATTCTTCATCGGATAGAAATTGTGATTCTGATGATGAGCATAGTTTGGCAAATTTAACTGATTCTGATGTTGAACCTTTGGAAGATGTTGTTGAGATCACCTTACAAGTTAATTTATGTTCCTCCCTTATTATACTTTTTCCAAATATTAATATGATTTTAAATCAAACTCTGTGTACACGCAGAATATTCAGATATCGAAAACCCGGGATGGCAATGCGAGCATTGCAATGTGTCTATATGGTATCAAGAGCGTAAAGGAAAACTTAGACAAACCACTATTGCTAAGTTTCATATATGTTTCCGAAGTGGAAAATTTGTGCTTCCACTCATGAAGCAGCCTCCGCCTATGTTGCATAAACTTCTTTTTGATAGGACATATACACACAGTAAGAATTTTCAGTCCAACATAAGAACTTACAATGCAATGTTCTCCTTCACTTCCCCTGGAATGAAGTTTGACACAGATTCTACCAAGGGCCACGACCCTCCTACGTTGCGACTTCATGGTCAAGCATGTCATCGAATAGGAACTATGCTTCTAGAAGTCGGGAATCCTCCTCAATACGCTCAGCTTTATATCTTCGACACTGATAATGATGTTGAAAACACAATAGACTATTTCAGGTAAAATTTGGACTATCTTGTTGTATCCAGCCTTTGTGAAAGTCTGGAATTTAATCTTCGTACTATATATGCTACTAATTTAACCTTTGAATGCCAAATGCAGGGACAATAAAAATATCGAAAAGGATATTGTCACCATTTTGAAACATGTCTTGGACGAGAACAATGTTCATGCAAAATCATTTAGAAATGAAAGATATTTTGAAGAGAAATACATTCCAAGACTTGAAGGTCAGGCTGATTTCCAGTAGGCCTAGCGACAGTGGCGTGTATAACATGCCAACTGTGTCTAAAGTTACAACATTGATTGTGGGCGACATCGACTCTGGATAGCTCAGGGACATCATAATCCATGAACGCAATGGTGGGTTGAAAAGGATAGATGAGTTCCATCCATCTTATCTTGGCTACCAATACCCTTTAATTTTTGTGTATGGTGAGGATGGTTACCGAGACGACATTCTTCACAAATGCAAGCACGAAAAACAGGTCACTAAAGCTAACCGTCAAACAATTAAAGATTGGTTATGTTTCCGTCTACAAGAGCGCATTGATGAACCTAAGACTTTGCTTCACTCCTGACGTCTTTTCCAACAGTTTTTGGTGGATGGTTACACTATGATGTGTTGGCGATTTTGTATCACCAATGTATTTTGGATGGTTACACACAAATGCTAACGAACCTGTCGATGAAATTAAACAGTATCTTGACTGTAGATACATCTCTTCTTGCGAAGCAAGTTGGAGAATCTTCTCTTACAACATTCATGGATGGAAACCCACGGTTGAACGCATGTTTTTCCATCTGGTTGGTGAGAAGCCTCTATACTACACCGATCATGACGATATGGAAAATGTTTTAGAGAGGGCAAGCGTGACTGAATTAATGTTTTCGTCCTGGTTAGTTGCAAACCACACTTATACCAATGCAAGGGAATTAACATACGACCAATTTGTTACCCAGTTTATTTACCACAAGAGAATTAGGATGTGGAAGCCAAGGAAAAAAGAATACACCATTGGGCGTTGGGTACCTCCTTTTACCGGAGAATTGTTTTATCTGCGCATGATGCTAACAATTGTAAGCGGGCCTACAACCTATGACGAGATTAAAAAGGTTGACGATATCCAATGTGAATCATTTAGAGATGCATGTTTTGCCATGGCAATGTCCAATGTCATCACGATTTCATGTTTATATTAATGTAATATTAGGGTTAATTGTTCAAGGACCACCCTAATTGGGCCCATGGGCCATTCCCCAATCTCTTCAACATTCTATTTCATTTACGCGCTTTGGCTTACCAAATATTTTTTTCGTGTTGTTAATTTATTCTCTATAAACTATATGATTTCTTCTTTAATTTTTTTAAATAAACATAAACTTTTTTTTCAATTAATTTTTTTCCCATGTCAGTTAATTATTTCTAACTCTTTATACTTAAGTTTATTTACATAATTTCCACTATTTCAACATAAATAGCTGTGTCACGTTTATTTTTCCTCATCATTACAATTAATTCAACCTTTTTACCATCAAATTTAATACTTATTTTTTTTTGAGAATTGCTTTATTTGTTATCGCATTTTAAAATTTTGATTCACATTTCTCTACACCATCGGGTTGTCTATCTTCGGTTTAAGTTTAAACATGAGTAATACGCAATAAACATGTTTTCCATCTTTTTTGAGCTACCGTTTTACACGTTTTACTGGGTCATTAATCACACCTACAGCATCAATCCTGTCACATTTTGGCCATCCCATTTATTTTTTGTGTTTTCAGACAACTAGTCTGCCCAATTTATAAACAACGGCCCTGTGTAGTTAACATATATTTTTCATTAGTGGGGCACCAACACCCTACATTGCTTAAGCAGTATGGAACATAACATCCCAATAATTTTAAAGCTTTTGACATAAAAATCATAATTTACATTACTGGTATATACAATGATCATTTCAGAGTTTATATTGCTATACATAATACTCAAAAAATATATACATACACACTTAATACTACTTTGTCTTCATGGCTGCAATGGCTAATGCAGGATGCTTCAAACATGGTTGTTACAGACTTACCATCCATACAGCCATAATGTTTTATGGTGCTTCTGCCTTTCTTTGGGTTTTTTTTCTCGTTTGAAGTTTCAGGAATACCGTCTGCTTTTCTCACTCTCTTCCCAACATGAACTCCGCCGTCGACGGATGCTTCAAATTGTAAAACAGATTTTCCCTTGCGAGACCGGGTTATGCGGTCCACTCCTTGCGTGTTTTGATGTGTTTCCGCTTTGCACCATGTGTTTCCATCACAAAAAAACCTGCTCCTTAGATGGCACTCCTGAATTCATCCTTGGCCTCCCTAATCTTCCCAAAACCGTTTCAGAAGGCTTTTCAGCAACGTTTCTGCAACAAAATCAAAGTTTAAACAACAGACTATATATTTATAAATGCATGCAAAATCATATTACCAATAAGCGCCTACCTATTTTCTGGAATCAATACTGATCTTTCTGCCATTTTCACTTTGAATCTGCACACAACGACCGTCAATCTGCTTATGAAACTATCAAAAACTCTAACAACGGGGGAGCTACTGTATCTTCAAGCATTCAGAATTGGTATCGTTTCCTGTTCAACTTGTGATCTTAGCTTTTCACTTTACCAATTATATTATTGTTGGACCTTGGGAACAATTATAACTCATCTATCATATAAGGAAATCCAATCTACCCAAAATTCCAATTTTGTCCTTTTGTTCCAATATCAAACCATGTGAATACACTCTTTGCACTCTATTCCATATTCTATTTCTTGTCTAATCTCTCTCCTTACTGTACGTAACGTTTCACTCCCTCTCTAACTTCCCATATTCATTGTGAATTCTGTAACTGCTGTTCAGACGTTACAAAACCATCATGGCTTACATTCAATATAATTTTTCATTCTCTCACTTTCTGTTACAACTTCTCCTCCCTCAAACTCTAGCATTTTTTTTCCTCTTCTCCCTCCTATCGGTTTTCTGCCTCCTATCGATTTATCATGGCACGACCAATTGAAGTTATATGCGACATCAATGACGGTTAAGAGTTGTGGAAGATTGCAATCAGGGTTCATTATCGATGGAATGTTCTGATTAACAACAAGGAGCATTTTGAAATGATTTTTATCGACAAAACGGTAAAATATTAATCCTCTGCTTCGGGCAGTTTCATGGTGGTTATGCATCTGTTTTGTTTTTCGCACAATTCTGTTTTCATTTTCTGTTGTTGTGGTAGATTTTTTGTACCACGCATATTGAATTGTTTGTTTTCTGAAATTATGCTATTTTTGTGTGCATTACAGGGCGATGATATACATGATGTTGTCCATGCGGCACATAAGTCGGTTTTTGATGAAAAATTGTTGCTGGGCCATACTTATATTGTGTCAAACTTTAAGGTCCAGACGAATGTTTCGTCTTTTAGACCTTCGACTCACAGGTTTATGCTCAAGTTTACCGGAGGAACATCTGTTGGGGATGATAACAAACACGACATCCTTGCGAAATTGCTGGTATTTACTGGTTTTTCTGATATAATCAGCGGTAATTATAACAGGGATGTCCTTATAGGTAAAAAAATATCTAACATTTTATTTTATGTTATGTTATGTTCGTTAAATTGAATTCGATATACTGTTTTTTCTATAGCATGCTTGTGTTTCTTTTTCTTATGCGGGTGTTTATTTGTTTTTTGGCAAGACGTAATTGGAACGGTTGAGAGCATTGGGTATTCCCAGATGCAGTCAGGTTCAAAAAAACTGCAGATTAATATGATGTTAAGGGACCAGATGTATGTAATCCATCGCTTTCAACTTTGTTATTATCTCATATATCATGTGAATGCATCTTAAGGTTCTTTTGTTGAGCGACTTCTGTGTATTCATTGTTTAGCAACAACACTCTGAATTGTACTCTTTGGGAATCGTATGCCGAACATTTTATCAAATTCACACATGATCCTGACAATACATCTGGCCCAACTGTGTTGTTGCTGCAGTATGCAAAAGTCAAATAAGAGGGTAACAGCATGGTTAATTATGTTATTATAGGACTTCTTATTTTTTTCCACTGACACTTGCCTCGTGACTTTGTTTGTGTAGGGAAGTTTCCATTGTCGGTCACAAACACCTACAATGTCACATTGATCTGCCTCGACTTTTCTTTTCCTCCGATCAAAGATTTCATTGATGGGTATATTCTTTGTATGACTTTATTGGTATCCGTTGATGGGTTGGAATTCTATTGTTGTTCTATGAAAAAAAATTAATTCACTTATTCATGCAGCATGCCTAAGGAGTCTATCGTTGCTGTCTCCGGGAATATGGGTTCGAGTTCACATCTATCATCCCAGAATTATGAAAAAACACAACTCAGCCCTGCTCAGAGGTTACTCTCAAGTGATGTTGTTTTGCCTCTTAGTGAAATAATCAAACTCTGTGATGTATGATACAGTTTGTTTGTTGCTGTTGTTTTTTCCTATACAGTTGGTCACTTCTTTTTTTCCTTTTTATAGTTTGTGATTAACGTCGTGGCCTATTGATGCAGATTACATTTTGCGTCACTGTTGCTAAAACAAGGATTCTGGTGCATCTCTGTTTGGGTGGTGTTACCGTGCCTGCCATTTGTATCCTTGCATTGCTCGTGGAGACACTCCTCTGTTTGACTGTGATGCTGGTCATTCAATTGAGGCTAAGATCTATAGGTCTTATTAAGAATCCTTTAGTATATATAGTGGCCGCGAAAGCTATTTTTGTGTATTTATGTCATTGTATTTTTATATTCGTTAATTATGGCATTGTAGGTACAAGATAGAGATTTAGGTTTTCTATGGGGGCAACAGTTGTAAATTTGTGTTTTGGAATAGAGAATGTGAGCTTCTTCTGGGTTTATCTGTTGCCCAACTACGTCATACTATGATCAAGGTTTGATGTCTTATTCCCCACCCCTTAGTATATGCATTTTTGTAGTGTTTTGGTAATCATTGTTGAGATTTGTTGTATAGACTGGAATTGATGATCCATTGGAATTCCCATTGGCACTGGATCAGTTGTTGAATTTGGATATGGCATTTAAGGTGAAGTGGAAGCCGTGATGGAACAATTGCTCTGTTGTGATTATCCTTAGGGATGAGCCTTTTATCAGGCAGCTTAAGGCTCAATGGGAGATAGACGAGGTTTAATATTTTTAACAGGTTTCTGGTATTTTAGGTTGTTTGATTATCTGGGTATTACGCAGAATTTCTAACGATGCTTTGTTTTCCAGGATAAGGAAGTTGTTGTTGGCCCCTCCATAACATCTGATCCTCTGCAGGTACTTACCCTATTTTAGTTTTTCGTTGTTCACGTGTTATATAATAATTTTTGTTATATGCTTGTATTACATATAATGGTTACTATTATATTGCGCTTAGGTTAAGGAGAGTGTCGATGAGGCCAAAATAGGTGCGCCCAAAGATTGTGTAAAGGAAACAGTAATCGGTGACTCCCTCCCTATTTATGCATAAGTTTGTTTTGTCTGAATGGTGTGAAATAAAACCTATTGTTTGATTCAATGTGTAACAGGATCTCAAGATCACCTCTAAGCATAACCCAGATCCAACGACGCCTATTGGTAAAAGAGACTTTTCTGGGGGGCCAAGTGAATCAGCAACCTCAGAGGAATTCTGTGATGGAAAACTATCTTCTAACAAGCTTAAGAAGACAGCCAAGCTAGAGAAGAATGATTAGTCGCGGATGTATTTTGCTGTGTCTCTTTATTTCAGTTATTTTGACTATGCGTACTGTTGTACCCAAAAATTTGCCCTCCCTTTTTTACAAGAAATCACAACCCCAGGGTTTTCTCTGATTTTTAAGATCGGCTCGAGAATCGGTCAAACAGACTTTTCTTTATCAGTCGATCCAGAATTAGGGTTTTTCTCTGATTTGTTAAGATTGACTCAGGAATCGATCAAACAGATCTTTCTTTGGCATCAGGGTTTGTGCCCGCATTTCTCAGAAGAAACTGAATCCTCATAAATTCAATTAACTGTTACATTATTTTTACGCTTGTTCAAGATTACTGGTTATTTCTCAAAACCTAAATATCTGGGATAAGAGCTGAGACTTTTGTTTGGAACATTAAGGCATTTGTTTGGATAAGTGGAGTGAAAGGTTTATGGAATGTTTGTTTGTTTAACTGTACAACGCATATGTTAATTGGAATACTACGCGTATTGTGATTGATGCAAGGTTGCGAGACTGCAAAGTTTGTTGGTTATTTATTTCATCTGGATTAGAATTATTGAGACACAGTTTCAATTATTTTGATTTAAGAGTCCTAAATAATTAAATAAATATAAGGGAAAGATGGAAAAGATGGAAAAGATATTGGACAGTAGAATTTTCTTTTGATTAAGACTTTTTATTTACTTCAAATATGGTTACAAATTTATTCGAATATTGTAAGATTACAACTTATAATGTTTAGGATAATATTTGTTTACAATAAATGAAAAATAAATCTAAGCCTAAATCTCTTGAGATCTTTGACTTTTCACTGCGTCCTCCATCATCCAACTGGTACTTACCTGCAAAAGACAGAAGAAAATGAAATCAGCGCAATTAACTGAAAAAAGAATTTTCAAGCAGATAAAAAGAAAAATCATCATTAAAGTCTACCGGCCGGAATCAGAAATGCTATGTTCATCATATTTTATTTTCCTCTCTGCAAATCACAAGAAGATCGCTCTTCTCGGTTCATAGAGAGAAAAATAAAAGATATAAATTGCAAGCATACAATTAATTCAAAATGCAAAAACATAGGCAAGTTGCAAGGCAAAGCAAAGGGTACTGCAAACTGAGTTTCAAACTGCATTAGTCAACCAAGTCAGCATGAGCAAGCATGGCAAGCTAACTACAAATGCAAACTGAATGTCAAACTGAGTTACAAAACTGTCAAAGCAAAGTATACAATGCAGAAAATATGGGAGCAAAGTACACAATGCAGAAAATATGGAAAATAAGTACACAGTGCAGAGAGATAAACCAAGTTACAAGCCAAAGAGACTTCTCCTAGCTA